ATGATTTGTTTGCTTATTTGTATAACAGGTTCACTATGAAGTAGTAAATAGAGCAATATATGAGAACAACATAGCTCTCCTTAGTGGGCTGCTTTTATTTTTATTTATTTATTTATTTATTGAGACAGAGTTTTGCTTTGCTGTCCAGGATGGAGTGCAGTGGCACTTTGTCGGCTCACTGCAACCTCCACCTCCCAGTTCAAGCAATTCTTGTGCCTCAGCCTCCTGAGTAGCTGGGATTGCAGGCGTCCACCACCACACTTGGCTGATTTTTTGTATTTTAGTAGAGATGGGGTTTCATCATGTTGCCCAGGGTGGTCTTGAACTTCTGAGCCCAGGCAGTCTGCGTGTCCTGGCCTCCCAAAGTGCTAGGATTACAGGCTTGAGCCACCGTGGCCGACCAGTGGGCTGCTTTTGTAACTAGATTAATATATAGGTGACTAACAGTTAAAGGAATTTTATATGTATATGTTTTCTTTTTTCTTTTTGAGACGGTCTCTCTCTTTCACCCAGGTTGGAATGCAGTGGTACAAAAAATGGCTCTCTGCATAGCTCCCCACTCCTGGCCAGGAACTATAGTAATGTTAGTTTAGAGCCTACAGTTACAGATTTTCACCTTTGATATCCGCGGTAACAGGGAGGTTACTATACCTACCTATGCTCTGATTGTCAAACATGCATGAAATTTTTAAAAGTGAGGCTCTTTCTTCTTGACCAAGCCGATCAAGACATACAAGTATGTAGTTTTTTTAAAAGTTGATGAATCATATAAAATTGTTTTTGTAGGTAGAAAATCGTCAAATATAAAGTTTTAACTTAATACATAAAAATCTCTGATAGTTTTGTTTATAAAATATCCTTCATTATATAAACAAGACTTGAGACTTATGGTTTATGAGGGTCATTATTATTAGAGAGAGGTCTCTGCATCTATAAAGAGGTTTTTTACTAGTTGGAAGATACTTTATTATATACTTTATTATATTTATTACATGATATAGTACCTAATCTGTAAGTCTTTGTTGGAGATTGCCCTGATAAAATGGGAGAAAAATTGTCATTCAGTTGCTTTGGTAGTGACTGAAGAAAAGATCCAAAGTTGTGGTTTGTGAACTATACACCACGGCATCCTAGGACCCCATGAAGAAATCCCACAGGCCTCATGGAAAATTGTTTCCAAAGCAAACACAATACTGCCTATATTATTAGCTGCACACCACATGAAGTAGTTTGAGACAGTTTACAGTTTCAACAGTGCACTCCATTCCTTTCAATGACATCATATCTTTGTGAAGCTAGGTTTTTAGCAATTGCTTTGATAACCAGCAAGTAGTGTGTGAAAATCAGCGTGGAACAGGGAATGAAGATCGGAGGTGTCTGAACTGATTCCAAGGTTTGAAAAGTGATACAATGCCTAGGCACACATCCATTAGTAAGTAATTAATTGTGGTGATTTAAAAATGAAATTAAATTTTTTTTTATTTTACATTATGTGTATTATTTTTTAAAACAACTGCAAGATGTTAGGATATAATTACTAGGTTGTTTGGTCCTGACTACTTACTAAACAGAATGGTTATATATTTATTGGCCTGGCGGTATCATAGAAAAAGTGCTAAGATACTAAGGTATATCAGCACTGTGAACTAAGAAACTGTAGGAACTTCTGGTTTAAAGTAATTACAGTACCCAAACAGAATTCACACAGGTGACCAAGTAATTGATATCAAGTAGGAAGGTACATTTAATTTAAATTTCTCATGGATACAGTTTTTAGAGTTGCCACCCCATTCTACTTGTTTAATATTATGTGACAAATGTCTGTACAGTAATCGCCCCTTACCCAGGGGAACATATCCCAGAAACTCCAGTAGATGCCTGAAATCAGAGATGGTACTGAATTCTTTATATGCTATGTATTTTTCCTATACATACATACCTATGATAAAGTTTAATTTATAAATTAGACACAGTAAGAGATTAATAACAATAACAATTTTGAGTCCCACCTACTGACCTCTGGGGAAAGGAGAGGGGCTGAGGTTGAGCTGATCACAAATGGCTAATGATTTAATCAATCATGCCTATATAATGAAGCCTCCATAAAACCCAAAAGGACAAGGTTCTGGATAGCTGAATGTGTGAAGGTGCTTGAAAGGTGGTGTGCCGGAGAGAGTACTGAAGCTCTGTGCCCCTTCCCACATGCCTGGCCTTATGCGTCTCTTTATGTGGCGATTCATCTCTAACCTTTGTAATAGCCTTTATTAATAAACTAGTGAATGTAAGCAAAGTATTTCCCTGAGTTCTGTAAGCCACTCTAGCAAATTTACAAAATCGAAGGAGCGGGTTATGGGGGCCTCCAATTTATAGCCAGCTGGTCAGAGGCATAAGTGACAACCTACTGCATACTTGCCATTGGCATCTGAAGTGGCGACAAGTCTTGTAGAACTGAGCCCTCAGCTTGTGGGACCTGACACTGTCTCCAGGTAGATGGTGTCAGAATTGAATTATAGAACACTCAGCTGGTGTCCACTGAACAATTGCTTGGTGTCAGAAGTTTTGTGTTAAATGAGAGTAGAGAAGAGTTTGTTTTTTCTAAACACAGTTTGATTTTTCCTGTGTCTCTCAAAGCTGTATTAAATCTTTCCTTGAGTAGAAGACTTCTCCTGAGACATGCCTGTCTGTAAGAGTGGGTGGGGCCGGGCGCGGTGGCTCAAGCCTGTAATCCCAGCACTTTGGGAGGCCGAGGCGGGTGGATCACGAGGTCAAGAGATCGAGACCATCCTGATCAACATACTGAAACCCCGTCTCTACTAAAAATACAAAAAAAATAGCTGGGCATGGTGGTGCGTGCCTGTAATCCCAGCTACTCAGGAGGCTGAGGCAGGAGAATTGCCTGAACCTAGGAGACGGAGGTTGCGGTGAGCCGAGATCGCGCCATTGCACTCCAGCCTGGGTAACAAGAGCGAAACTCCGTCTCAAAAAAAAAAAAAAAAAAAAAAGAGTGGGTGGAACAGGTAGTATGTGCAGCATGGAAAAGCACCACAGAGCTTCTTCCACTGGAAGATTAAACTCTAACTAAGAAATTAGGCAGGAAAAGGCAATTGGAGTTAGGATGAGAACAGATGAACTATACACCATGGCATTCTAGGACTCTCTTCAGAAAGACCAGACTGGGCTGAGCTCAGCTGCACATACCTGCAGTCCTAGCACGTTGTGAGACTGAGATGGGAGGATCACTTGAGCTCAGGAGTTCAAGACTAGCCTGGGCAATATGGTGAAATCCTATCTCTACAAAAATTACAAAAACTAGTAGGGTTCATTGACTCACACCTGTAGTCTTAGCCACTTGGGAGGCTGAGGCAGGAGGATCACTTGAGTCCAGGAGTTTGAGGCTGCAGTGAGATGTGATCACACTACTGCACTCCAGCCTGGGCTACAGAGCAAGACCCTGTCTCTTAATACATTCTGGCATGTCTTATTTATTTCTTTTTTTAAATAAATTTCCTTATCCAAATGGAGGGAGACTGTTATAACTAGAATTTGATGACATAGCATGAGTGGGCAGAGAGGGGAAAATGGGAGATGATAGAAATGAATGTGCCAGAGATATATTTTGCCCAGAATCCTGGCCACAGACAGTATGCTAATGCCTGATTTAAGAAAAGATTTAGCTGAAAATACTGCACATCTCAGTATGAATACTCCTTATACAGCCTACACCACCCCTAGCCAGTCTCTGTTCCTCTCCCAAGGAGAGGAAGAAGTTTGCATCCTACCACATAATTCTTCCTCTTTGTAATCAGTATAAAATTCTTAGAATCCCTCATGTGGGTATCCGTAGGAGTGCCTAGGTCTGTTGTGCTTGAAAAATGTGCTTTCCTCCCATATTCAATCTTCTGGCCTAATGATTCCAGTCTTCTGAAACATAACTCTCCTTATCTTTTTTTTTTTTTTTCTGTAGTTCTGTGTTCCAGTCCTTTAATCTTTTTTTCTAAATTAGGGATGAGAAACTCACATGCTTACAGATAATGTAAACAAGGCTAATAAGGACTATAATGAGCTGGAGAGTGCCCAGCTAAAGGGGACAACTATTTCTTACTTCTGGTGAATTGTTGCCACGGGGGCATATAGATCACTTGTTACCAGATCTTGAGATGTATTTCAAGAGAAGCTAGAAGTATGAGAAATTAGTGTACAGCTTCTCAGTGTTTACATATTAGTATTTAATTCTGATTTTTAAATCATAGCTAGGTGTTACTCCTGGGCCATAACTTTGCCACCTCTACTCTAGATCTTATGTAAGTTTGAAGCTCAAAATCCAGCCCAGTATTATTTGATAAAAGCCATATCTCTTTGTATCCTGTCATTTATGCTTCATTTCTTTCTCAGAATTGCTTTCTGGTCAGTTGAAATTCTTTGACTATGTTCCTTGAAAAATTGTCCATCATATCTGAATGGAAGCAGTTGAGGAAAAGAAGTATTTTGATCTGAGTATGTTTAATGCTTTTCCCCCCACGAAAAAGGCATTCACAGAGAGGCCTCAAACTAAGGACTAAGAAAATCTGCCCTCTCAAAGATTGACTGTGCAGGATAGAGACTGCACAGGCCTCCGCAGTATTTGGGGCCTCAAAGATTTTGTTAAAAAGCAAATGCTGTAACTTATACCTTGGTGATTAGAGTTCTTTAGAACCAAGTCTTAAAAGTCCTCAGTTACACTTGAAACATAATATAATATGACATGATACTCTGCTTGAGTATTTGTGAATTATGCTGTTATAAGTTGCTGGGAAGTTGGCAGGAAGGAAGAAGTAACCATTTAGGGAAAGTGCTTACTGGTGAATTCATTATCATGTTAGAGAATAGGAGTTTTGCTTTCTGGGTTCTAGATGGCTTCAGTTTATAAAAATAGGTCTAAAATGTTTCTTATTACTCTCTCTTTCTCTCTCCCCTTTCTCCTCTACCCCTCTTTTTTTTTTTTTTTTTTTTTTTTTTTTTAGGTTTTCAAAACAAAAATAGAGTTGCAATCTTGGCAGAACTGGACAAAGAGAAAAGAAAACTACTTATGCAGAACCAGTCTTCAACAAATCATCCTGGAGCTAGGTATTGACACTATTATGTGGTTTTTGGTTTTTGGTTTTTTGGTTTTTTTGAGATAGAGTCTCGCTCTGTCTCCAGGCTGGAGTGCAGTGGCGTGACCTCGGCTCACTGCAACCTCAACCTCTGCCTCCTGGGTTCAAGTAATTCTTCTGCCTCAGCCTCCCAAGTAGCTGTAACTAAAGGTATACACCACCACACCACACCTGGCTAATTTTTGTATTTTTTGTAGAGACGGGGTTTTACTGTAGTGGCCAGGCTGGTCTCAAACTCCTGACCTCGTGATCCACCCACCTTAGCCTACCAAAGTGCTGGGATTAGAGGTGTGAGCTACTACACCCGGCCTATAATGTGGTTTTTATATTTAGTGATATAAAAATTTCTTGGACCAAATAACTCAATGGCTGACAATGATTTTTTCCTTTAACACTGTAATCTATACATTGTGTTTTATTTCTATAGGGGAGACTAAACTTTACCTGTACACAACTTAGTTCTTATCGGAAGGCACCTCTGTACCAAAAGACAGATTAACAAAGAAAAACAAATTTATGAATGCATGCAGCACACATCACAAGGGAGAAACCTTAATGAAAAGTAACTCAAAATTGTGGCTTAGAACTCCGCTTATATAGCATCTTCAACAAAGAATAATAAATTCATAGAGAAATGTGGCACAAATGAAAGGGATTTTAGGCTTTCGGGGTGGGAAACTGAGAAGGTAAATAAATGGAGTAAGGCTTGTTGGCAGAGTCCTCTGCTGCTGTCCCTAGGCTAAGTGTCTGGAGCTGTCTCCAGTACAGGAGAAGCTATATCCTGTCTTCAGGCAGAAAGTGGGGAGGGGAGAGAGAGACCTTTTCTTCAGTTTGCTGCTGTTTTTTATTTTTATTTCTTAGCAACCCTATTAACTAAGCTGCTTCTTTTTTTTTTTTTTTTTTTTTTTTGAGACGGAGTTTCGCTCTTGTTACCCAGGCTGGAGTGCAATGGCGCGATCTCGGCTCACCGCAACCTCCGCCTCCTGGGCTCAGGCAATTCTCCTGCCTCAGCCTCCTGAGTAGCTGGGATTACAGGCACGCGCCACCATGCCCAGCTAATTTTTTGTAATTTTAGTAGAGACGGGGTTTCACCATGTTGACCAGGATGGTCTCGATCTCTCGACCTTGTGATCCACCCGCCTCGGCCTCCCAAAGTGCTGGGATTACAGGCTTGAGCCACCGCGCCCAGCCTAAGCTGCTTCTTAATTGCTTTCAGCTCAAAAATAATTTTTATATCAAATAAGCATATTTTAGGTGACATATTCTGGTTCCCTTCATTTCCTAGTCAGACTTTTAGCAATTAAACTATTTAGCTGATTAAATTGTAAACATTCTAACTAGAATATTTAATTTCCCTATAGCCTTCTCGGCCTTCAGACTTTTTTTGTGGGGGGATCTCACTCTGTCACCCGCACACCTATGGAGTGCAGTGGCACAATCATAGCTCACTACAGCCTCAGTCTCCTAGGCTCAGGTGATCCCCCCTGAATATCTCACACTACAAGCGCACCCCACCAGACCTGGCTAATTTTTTTTGTTTTTTAGTAGAGATAAGTGAGATCTTGTGTTGCCCAGACTGGTCTCAAACTCCTGGCCTCAAGTGATCCTCCTGCCTCGGCCTCCCAAAGTGCTGGAATTATAAGTGTTTAGCCATGGCACCTAGACCTTATAGCCTTTTTTTTTTTTTTTTTTTTAATTGTTTTGTATGCTTTTTTATTACTGCAGTTGCTGCTAGTGGCCCACTTTTCAATCATTCTGCCAAGTGGATAAAATTTAGGTGGCTCAGACTGTTATCTCTGGGCACAGTGGCTCACGCCTATAATCCTAGCACTTTGGGAGGCCAAGGTGGGGGGATCACTTGAGCCCAGGACTTCCAGAGCAGCCTGGGCAATGTGGCAAGACCCATCTCTACAAAAAATACAAAAAATTAGCCAGGCATGGTGGTGCATGCCTGTGGAGGATCACCTGAGCCCAGGAGTTTGGGGCTGCAGTGAGCTGTGATTGTATCACTGCACTCCAACCTGGATAATAGAGTAAGACCTGTCTCAAAAAAAAAAAAAAAAAAAAAAATCCATTATCTCATTTAGCCACCACCCTGTCTTTTTTCTCTTAAAGCAATTGCCTATACTCATCTTTACTTTCTCACTTATTCATGCCTCAACCCACTGCAGTCTGGCTTCCAGGCCCTCCATCAAAGAAAATGTTCTTGCCTAGGTCGCTTGTAACCTTCCTGGGCTAAATCTAGCAGACCAGAGTCTCTTTCTTATCAGACATCTTAGCGTTATTTGACACCACTGATCACTCTCTCCTTCTTTTTATTTTTATTTTTTTATTGCATTTTAGGTTTTGGGGTACATGTGAAGAACATGCAAGATTGTTGCATAGGTACACACGTGGCAGTGTGATTTGCTGCCTTCCTCCCCTTCATCTATATCTGGCATTTCTCCCCATGCTATCTCTCCCCAACTCCCCACCCCCCACTGTCCCTCCCCTATTTCCCCCCAACAGACCCCAGTGTGTGATGCTCCCCTCCCTGTGTCCATGTGTTCTCATTGCTGGACAGGGAAAATGTGGTACTCTCTCCTTCTTAAAGTACTCCCGGTCCTTGGTTTCCATTTGCTCACTCTAAGAAAATTAAAAACAGGAGGAGACTACCTTGATTTCTTTTGCAGACATTTCTCCATTTGTCCCTTGAATGCTGACAGCCCTTCGGATTCTGTTCTAGACAGGCTTCCCAGTCGGCCTCCTTTCACTGGGCAGTTACGTCTTTTCCCACAAGCCGTTATTTATGTGCTAATCACTTCTGCATTTGCAGCTCTAGTCTGTCCTTTCTTCTAAGCACCATCTCTGCCTCCTGGACATCTTTACTTTGATGCCCACAGGCATTTTAAATGTAGTATGTCCCAAACTGAACTCATTCTCCCTCCCCACTCTCCAGCAACTACTGAATATTCTTGTGTATCCTGTCTTAGTAAAGGGTTCAGGCTACCATCTAGTAGTTACAAAGTCAGAAATGTGAGCTTCAATTGTTTACCATTCCCTTTCACTTTCATCTGCAAGCATTTATCATTCTCTTGTGTTTATACTTTGAATGGTGTCTCATATCTGTCCATTTTCTTCATTGCTACTGATGCTATCCTGATTGCTGGCCACTCTCATTTCTTGTCTCAATTATTATAACTGCTTCAAATTTCCTGTGGTCTTATGCTTCTTGAATACATTCATCAGTTGTGTCATTTAGGAAGCTTTAATCAGGAAGTAACAGAAATGTAACGAAATTGGCATAAACATTAGGGTATCTGTTAACCAGGAGTGTGAAGATAAGGTAGTTCCAGAGTGGCTTACTTCAGTGGCCACAATATCATTAGAGATACAGCTTTATTCATCTTTCCTTTGTCAGTGGCTCCCTCAGGTCAGAATATGACTGCAGTGGCTTTGGCATCACCCCACACTGAGCCACCTGCAGAGGCAAAAGCCTGAAAGATTCCTGTGATATGTCCCATTTGTAAGAGTGAGGAAAACACTCTTATAAGCCTTCCTGTAGACACCTATCAAGTCTGGTTGCCCAGATTATGTACCTTTCTCTTGCCTAAACCAGAAACCAGCTAGGGGAATGACATTGTCTTATACCAATCAAGGTCTACCACCTGGGGCGTGAGCCTGGCCTGCCCTGAAGCACGTGACCACTGAAAGATAATTGAACCAAATTTTGGTTCCATTAACAAGGAAGAAAGGAGATAAACAGCTGTTGAGGAGGTGGCCAGCACTATCTGCCACGGTAGTGGTCTTTCTGAACTACGGGGTGATAGTTCTTTTTTTTGAGACAGGGTCTTACTCTGTCACTCAGGCTGGAGTACAGTGGCACAATCTCCTGACCTTCTGGGCTTAAGCAGTCCTCCCATCTCAGCCTCCCGAGTAGCTGGAATCGCAGGCACATGCTGCCACACCTGGTTAATTTTATTTTTTAGAGACAGGGTGTCACTATATTGCCCAGGCTGATCTTGAACTCCTGGGCTCAAATGATCCTCCTGCCTTGGACTCCCAAAGTGCTGGGATTACAGGCAGGCATGAGCCACGACGCCTGGCCAAGTGGGTGATACTTCTGATCATGTCACTCCCCTGCTGCTTAACACTGGAGGTCTCCTATTACTGTTAGGATAAGGTCTACATTTTATAACATTTTTCAGACCACTATCCTTCTAGATATATTAAGTGTCCTTATTAATTCTCCTGTTATTAACATACATCACACCTCATCAGGATTGCTGTTATCTGTGAGCCTTGTCTTACATGTACCCCTAGTGTTTAGTACAGAGCTATGCATCTAGTAGCTGCTTTAGAATCTGGTAAGTATCTCTAAGTTTGATTATTTATTCATAATAGTTCTACCTATGTAGAACACGGTTATGATAATTTAAGTGTTATTATTATTGGTTTTTTTTTTTTGAGACAGAGTCTTGCTCTGTCGCTAGTCTGGAATGCAGTGGCATGATCTTGGCTTACTGCAACGTCCATCTCCTGGGTTCAAGCAATTCTGCCTCAGCCTCCCAAGAAGCTGGGACTACAGGTATATGCCACCACGCCTGGCTAATTTTTGTATTTTTAGTAGAGACAGGGTTTCACCATGTTGGCTGGTCACAAACAAGTTTAATTATTATACAAACAAAAGAGTATGGTTTTATTGTTGATGAATATCATGTGATTTAACTGTTTTTTAAAATAATGTTAATAGGGATCATGATAAATCATGGTATCTCAAATCTGTTTGAATGTAGGAGACCATAAATTATACATTTTAGGCTGGGCATGATGGCTCATGCCTGTAATCCCAGCACTTTGGGAGGCCTAGGTGGGCAGATCACTTGAGGTCAGGAGTTTGAGACCAGCCTGGCCAACATGGTGAAACCTCATCTCTACTAAAAATACAAAAATCAAATATAGCTGGGTGTGGTTGTGCACACCTGTAATCCCAGCTGCTCAGGAGGCTGAGGCATGAGGATCACTTAAACCCGGAGGCAGAGGTTGCAGTGAGTTGAGATCACGCGACTGCACTCCAGCCTGGGTAAAAGAGTGAGACTCTGTCTCTAAAAGAAAAAAAGATAAAAATTTTTAAAAAGATCATTTAAAATCTCAATAAATAATATAGACTTTCTTTATATAAACTAATGTAGATAGTGAGAGAAAAGAAAAAATATTTATTCTGGGAAGTCTTTTTTACCCCTATAAAGAATATATAATGAAAAGTTGTGATTCAGAAGTAAGGACATCTCTTTAAGAGATTTATTGTATAGCATACTGACTATAATTGATGATACATACTTGAAAATTGCTAAGATAATAGATCTTAAATGTTCCACAACCAAAGTATGTGAGGTGATGGATATGTTAATTAGCTTGATTTAACCATTTCACAGCATATACATATATTAAAACATCACATTGTACACTGGAAATAGATGCAGTTTTTGCCAAGGATACCTCAATTTAAAGAAAGAAGATAATTTACTACCATCCAAAAAAAAGTAAGGATGTTTCTGTCTTAAGCAGCCAAGTAACCAAGATTCCCATTTTAGCATTGCACTCTCGAGACCATCCCTTAATAAGGACTTCCGGGATCACGCTGAGCAGCAGCATATTGCAGCACAACAGAAAGCAGCTTTGCAGGTGAGCAAAGTGTACTGACATTCTTGCCTCAGTGGAGATTTCCTGGGTCTTAGAAGCCAGCACATAGTTATTGTCTATTTCAGTGGAGCAATATCAATAAAAATGTTCCACACATAATTGCAATGGTTTGCTGATGTTCAGTCATGCCCAGAGGACTTCAAGGACCAGTGCAGCAGTAATGAAAGTATCTTTTATGGTGCTGACTTGGTCATGATTGATTCTGTGCTGTACATGTCAAGGGATTGCTTGTGCACAAAAGAATTTAGGATATTTGGATGGACAGGAATGATCTTAAAAATGGAACTGGCTAGTTTAATAGTACATGCACTTTTTTCAAATCTATCATGTCATTACATCCTATGATAGTTGTATTGGTTTATTGTTGTTGCCTGGAATTTTTTTATAATGCTCAGCACAACTGTTGTATAGGAAATGTTTAAAAGCTCACTCTTACTATAGGACTAGGAACGTGATGCTTCATCAGAATAACAAAATCTTCTTCAGAGTAATAAATAGTCTTAGTGTTACAGTCTCATCTTGAATAGTTTAAGATTTCCAGAGACTTTGGACAAGACTTTTTTTTTCCCATCAGTATAATTTAATCACTTATATTTTTAAAACTTAGAATCCCAGAATTGGAAGGAAAATTATGAAGACCATCTCACTTTATTTTATTTTATCTATTTTTTAGAGACAGGGTCTCATACTCTGTCACCCAGGCTGGAGTGAGGTGGTGCCATCATAGCTTACTATAACCTCAAACCCCTGGGTTCAAGTATTCTTGCCTCAGCCTCCTAAATAGCTGAGACTACAGGCACGTGCCACTGTGCCTAGCTAATTTTTTATTTCTTTTAGAGTTGGGGTCTCACTGTGTTACCCAGGCTGGTCTCAAACTCCTGGCCTCAAGTGATCCTCTCACCTCAGTCACCCAAAGTCTTGGGATTACAGGTATGAGCCACCATTGTCCAGCCCTCCATTCACTTTAGATGACCTAAAAAGTCTTTTTTTTTTTTTCTTTTAATGACAGAGGGAAGTTACTGGTGGTTTTCTGTTATTTACATTCTAACATTCTCTACAAAATGTTGGTATTTTAATCGTCAGTAATCTCACTGCCTTTCCCCCCCTCTCCTTCTAACTACTGCCCCTTCTTTCTCAAGTTCCTGATTTGTTGACCAAGATCAGAGTATTTTGGGATCTTTGATACTCGTTTTCCTGACTTGAAGGAACAAAACAACTCATGTCTGACTCATTTATTGACTGAGGAGGGTCAGAGGGTAGATAGAGAGGATGATAATTGAGCACCTGTTATTTGTTAGCACAGATTCTCTATGACTGTCCATTTCTTGTATATTTAAACACAACCAGCAGCATAAGAACTGGTTTTAAGATAAATTCCATCTCACCCATAACAATTAAAAATAAATGAATAAACAATTAAATTTGGTCTCAAGCATTCAGAAAGAATAAGTAATTTTAATGCCTTGGTGAAGAATTGTGACTCTATTTAATAGCTTAATTGCCTTTTTTAAAAAAAATCTTTTCAGCATGCTCATGCACATTCTTCTGGATACTTCATAACTCAAGACTCTGCATTTGGGAACCTTATTCTTCCTGTATTACCTCGCCTTGACCCAGAATGAAGAAAATATTTGTGATGAGAAAGTGACTTTGTAATATCAAATGCCAAAGCTACTATCATTCAGTGCTAGATGAACTGTGACTTTCAGAATTTTGGTGAACTCTGCTATTTTTTGTTTGTTTAAAAGAAAGGAATGTGGAGGTGAAAGCAGAAGAAAGGATAACCAGGATGATGAGAGCTGTGGAAGCTGCGTTGTCCAAGGAATCGATTATGTACCGTGACTGTAACTTTTTTTGTAATGCTGTTTAACTCTCAATCAGACTCTGAATTGGATGGTCACAAAGTCAGTCCCCAACCCCTAGCAAGTTTGACTGAATATATCATGTCCACAGTAGATTTTCAAGAATCATTTATAGTACTTAACTTAAAAGAAACAAGGGTGCTTTTAAAAAATGAACCAATAGGCTTAAATCAGTTCCATCCATATTTTCTATTTATAGGATTGGTGTCAGTGTAACTTTTGAGTTTATAGTCAACATGTATCATCCTGAAATATTCTTTCTGAATCATAACTACTTCCCCCTTTCTCACTTTAAAGCAAACCCCAAGAATCAATTACTAACCAGTCTTAACCATCTTTTATAAACATATGCCCTTATAAATGATGTGACTAAATGCAATTAAAACTAATAGGAAAAGTGGTGGTTTTTGTACATCCTCTTACTTAGTGTCACCACATAAATGGTGAGTTTGTGTGGTTCTAGTGTCCATTTTTGTTCTAACGGAAAACGTAATGGCCGGGCATGGTGGCTCACGCCTGTAATCCCAGCACTTTGGGAGGCTGAGGCAGGCAGATCACTGGAGGTCAGGAGTTTGACACCAGGCTGGCCAACATGGTGAAACCCTGTCTCTTACTAAATACAAAAATTAGCCAGGTGTGGTGGCGCTCGCCTGTAATCCCAGCTACTTGGGAGGCTGAGGCAGGAGAACCACTTGAACCCAGGAGGCAGGGGTTGCAGTGAGTCAAGATGGAGTCACTGCACTCCAGCCTGGGTGACAGTGAGACTTCATCTCAAAAAAAAAAAAAAAAAAAAGAAAAGAAGAAACTTATCACGCAAGTTGAGCTCCTTTTTAATTACTTTAAGTAGGAAGGAGTTAGGTTAAGAAAGTCTCTCAATATGACCCATCTTTAGCAGTATCTGGGGTGCTTATTTAAATATGCAGTCGCATTACCCTACCCTAGTCCTACAGAATTAGAATCTGATTCAAAATAAAGACCAAAAACCATGAAATAGAGAATTTTATGAAATATCTTGTACAAATTTTCATGATATATTTATACAGGCATGGGTTTGTAGATCCCTGAAACTTAGAGGTCACTTAGCTAAAATCTACATTTCTTTTTAACTTTTAATAGGATTGAAATGACATTTTACACTGTATCATAGAGTATTTTATATAACTTTTTGTAACTGACCTCATCTTGGCCTCGAGTCCCATCCTCTCTGGTGGTAGAGTAAAACTGAAAATTCCAGTTTGGGTCAATATTTAGTGAAAGTTCTACTTTCTTTTCAGAGAGTTTCTTCTCCCCCTTCTTCCTTAGATATTATCACCAAACACACAGCCCCATCCTACTCAAACCAAGGGAAGCAAGGGTGGACAATTCTAGAATTGGCTGTGCCATGTAGGTTTTTTTGAGAATTTGAACTGATTTCCTTCATTTTGATGAGGTGGCAACTGTCCCCATTGTAATGGTCACCATTACAGCGAGGGCAGCCTTACTTCTGCCACTGCAGAGCTCCTCAGGGGGCCTCTGGCTCCTGTCCTTCCTCAGGTCCATCCAGCTACTCCTTGGGCCTCCTTATGGTAGCCCTCATGGTCTTGAATTAATTTCACTAGGCTTCTGTTCTCTGTGATCTACAACATAAGTGACATGGTTCTAAATCTGTCTCTAGGGAGATAACAGATTAGTATATTTTCTACACTATTGAAGCCTCTACCTAATGTATGACTTTTGTAGCTCAGGTAAAGAGACCTTTTTACCAGTGGTATCCTTTCTAGTCTGTTAGCCTTTTAATTAGATGTGGTCTAAATCCTGGCTAGGAAGCACTTCTCTCCACCCCTCTGCTTTGAGTCACAAATTCCATTCAATTTCCGATGTATTTATTAATACCTACAGATAAAGCACTGTGCTTTGGGGGACACAAAGGTGACTGGCACCTGCTCTTTTAGGAGGTCACAGTGCAGAGGATCCTATTCTGGTATACCAATAGTGTGTCCAAGCCACAGCCTGGGCAACATAGCAAGACCCCTGTCTCTACTAAAAATTAAAAAAAGATTGGCTAAGTGTGCTGGTGCATGTGTATAGTCCCAGCCACTTTGGAGGCTGAGGTGAGAGGATTGCTTGAGTCTGGGAGGTCAAAGCTGCAGTGAGCCATTATTGCACAACTGCACTCCAGCCTCGGCAACAGAGTGAGACCCTGTCTCTAAATCAGGCAAGCCAGAATGCGGTACTGGCCTGAGAGGCATCCTGGAACGTAGTGCGGTCTGGCTAGGCTTAGACATGTTCATGTGATTTTACCTGGCAAGGGATGGAAGAGCTGCTCCACGTGCAGAGCAAGGTTTCAGAATGAGAAGTGCAGGCACCGCAGAGGGCAGGGGAAAGGGCGGCAGTGGACTGGGAAGCCCTCAGGCAGAGTTCAGCATTGCTTCCCTCATTGGGGATGAGTTTCAGGAACTCAGTATCTCTGCATGTTCCTCCCTCTGTAGATGAGAACAGCACATGCTCTGCCTATGTCAGAAATTGTCTAGTATTTTTCAAAGTGCAAGCCTCAACCCATTACTGAGTTGAGAAGCCAACGTAATGGTTTAACAGGATGTGACCAGCATTTAAAAAAAAAATAAAAATAGCTGGGCGCGGTGGCTCAAGTCTGTAATCCCAGCCTTTGGGAGGCTGAGGCGGGTGGATCACGAGGTCAAGAGATCGAGACCATCCTGGTCAACATGGTGAAACCCCGTCTCTACTAAAAATACAAAACATTAGCTGGGCATGGTGGCACGTGCCTGTAATCCCAGCTACTCAGGAGCCTGAGGCAGCAGAATTGCCTGAACCCAGGAGGCGGAGGTTGCGGTGAGCCGAGATTGCGCCATTGCACTCCAGCCTGGGTAACAAGAGCAAAACTCCATCTCAAAAAATAAATAAATAAAAATAAAAAAATAAAAAACATCTTGAGTGTACTGCATGTAGAAATAGGTGGTTTTCCTCTTCAGTCTTCTGTTTCTGTGTGTTCATGTATGTGTATATTTTACTTTGTATTGTTGGTTTTTTAAGAGACAGTCTTGCTCTGTCATCCAGGCAGGAGTGCAATGGCAGAGTCATAGCTCACTGTCAGACTCCTCAAATCCCTGGGCTCAAGCAATCCTCCACCCTTAGCCTCCCAAATAGCTGGGACTACAGGCACATGCCACCATGCCCAACAAATTTTATTTTTGTAGAGACAGCATCTTGCTATGTTACCCAGGCTGGCCTTGAACTCTTGGCCTCAAGCAGTTCTCTGGATCCTTCTACCTTGGCCTCCTAAAGTGCTGAGATCACAGGTGTGAGCCACTGCACCTGGCTTACTTACTTTGTCTATTGTCTGTTCCACTAGAATGTAAAGTCTTGGCAAGAATTTTTGTTTATTTCCTTCTCTTCCTCCTTTCCTTTCTTCCTCTTTTACTTTGTTCACTACTGTATTCCACATAAAATATATTTGGCATATAGTAGGTGCTCAATATGTTAAAGGAAGGAATGAAAGAATTTATATGACTTGAGTTGCAATATAAAATGTATATATTTTTTTTACTGTGAGTTATGTCCGACAAAAAAAAAAAAGCTTTGAAAGCACTTCTAAATAATGCAGATGTCAGTGCTTTGTATGACCCTGGAATAAAAACTGAAATGACTCAGTAATTTCAAAGGCATTTTTTTTTTCCGGAACAATCTATAAGCTGTTTCATTAAGTTGTCTCAGTTACTTGCTTTACTTCGGCAATAGAAGCTCAGCCTTTATATGTGTTTAAAACGTCTTGAGGCAAGGGATTTGGCAAATGTGGTTACATAGAGAACAGAAGATAATAGAGAATCAATTCATTAGTGCAGTTGAAGCCGCTACTGGAATCCCATCAGCGAGCACAAGTCCCATTTCAGCAGCATTAAATGCAACAAGTATTTGCTGAGTGCTTTTCTTTTTCTTTCTTTCTTTTTTTTTTTTTTTTTTTTTTTTGAGACAGAGTTTCACTCTTGTTGCCCAGGCTGGAGTGCCATGGCGTGATCTTGGCTCACCACAGTCTCCACCTCCTGGGTTCAAGAGATTCTCCTGCCTCAGCCTCCCAACTAGCTGGGATTACAGGCATGTGCCACCATGCCCAGCTAATTTTTTGTATTTTTAGTAGAGACTGAGTTTTGTCATGTTGGCCAGGCTGGTCTCGAACTCCTGGCCTTAAGAGGTCCACCTGCCTCGGCCTCAAGTGATCCACCTGTCTCAGCCTCCCAAAGTGCTGGGATTATAGGTGTGAGCCACCACCGCACCTGGCTGGTCACAGGCTTTTTAAAATGTGCAAATAATGAACATGGACAATGAGGAAGAGGAGAGCAGTCACTGTCCTCAAGAGTCTGACAATCTAGAGTAGATGAGACAAGCACGCTAAAAACTAATCCTGGGAGCAACCTGGAGAGGAGAGAATGGGGACGGGAGCCCGAAAGGACCACTAAAATCTACATCAGAGCAAGCTTGGAACTTGGCTTTCAAGATGAGAAGGTTTCAGCCAGGAGAGACTGAGCAACATTCAAAGCAAAGGAAACACCTGCACAGAGGCAGGAGGAAAGCAGGTTTGGGGCAATTTTACCGAAAGCCCGATTTGGCTGGAGCACAGAGACTTGTATAGGCAGATAAGTGGAAACAAAGCTAACCAGAGGCTAGATTCATTCCAGAGCGTCTGGAATCCCATGGTGTGCCTCGGTATCCAGCTGGGAGATACTCAACATTTTTGGGCATAGGCAGGTACAGAGATGAACCCATCCAGCCCTCATCAGCTCTTGGGAAAGGGGAACGTGTGAGGTACTAAAAGAATGTTACTCTTCATGTCTGCAAATTCAGAGACAGGTGTGTTCTGTTTACATCTGCCTTTCAACTCCAGCCCCGTCTGTCTTTGCTATCTCTTGCATTTAGTTGGGTTCTTCCCCATATTTCTCTCTGCCCACCTCCCTCCCCTCTTTACTTTTCTTTCCTCCAGTTTTCTTCTGTATCTCTACTTCCAAAAGCCTTTTAAGAAGGAAAAAGCGGCTGGGCGTGGTGGTTCATGCCTGTAATACCAGCACTTTGGGAGGCTGAGGTGGGCAGATCACAAGGTCAGGAGATAAGACCATCCTGGTTAACACAGTGAAACCTCATCTCTACTAAAAATATAAAAAATTAGCTGAGCTCGGTGGCATGTGCCTGTAGTCCCAGCTACTTGGGAGGCTGAGGCAGGAGAATTGCTTGAACTCAGGAGGCAGAGATTGCAGTGAGCCGAGATGGTGCCATTGCACTCCAGCCTAGGCGAGAGAGCAAGACTCAGTCTCAAAAAAAAAAAAAAAAAAAAATGTATCTTTTCAATGATGCCTTCTTTGACCACCCTAGTTAAAATTTCATCTCCTTTTCCCAGTACACCCTTGCTTAATTTTTCTCTGTGGCACTTAGACCCTTGAACATATAATGTAATTTATTTTATCCTCCTCCATCTAGAATAAAAGTGCTATGCGTGCTGACATTTTTGTGTTTTCTGATAACATTTCTCTATTGCTTAGAACAGTGCCTGGCACATCATAGCAAGTGTTCAAATTTTTTTTTCTTTGAGACAAGAGTTTTGCTTTTGTTGCCCACACTGGAGAGCAATGGTGCAATCTTGGCTGCCTGCAACCTCTGCCTCCCGGGTTCAAGCGATTTTCCTGCCTCAGCCTCCCAAGTAGCTGGAATTATAGGCATGTGCCACCATGCCCGGCTAATTTTTTTTGTATTTTTAGTAGAGACAGGGTTTCTCCATGTTGGTCAGGCTGGTCTAGAACTCTTGACCAAGGTGATCTGCCCACCTTGGTCTCCCAAGTGCTGAGATTACAGGCATGAGCCACTTTGCCCAGCCTGATGTTCAAATGTTTTAATGAATATTTGTTTATGAAAATAATGTTATGAAAATAATGTTCAAAATATTTTAATGAATAAATGAAATCAGTCAGGTGTCCAAAGGGAAAACTGGCATCCTGGTCCCCTGTCGGAGAGTAGACCCTCTCCCCACATGCACATAGACAAAAACTATGCCTGTAATTGTAGGCATCCTTTGACTCCTTGAAGCCAGCCATGGGTCTGGGATTAAAATCTTTCGATCAAAAGGAGGTTAGCTGCTACCTTGATAGATGCTTCTCCAATAAAGTGTTTTGGAAATCTCAATGCCACAGACATTACTGAGTCTCTTGGAGGATCTGGAAGCTTGCAATATTGTAGCAAATATAGTGACGCTGGCAACATAGTTCTGTTAAGAACACATGGGTTGTGCCAGCCCCTTGGTCTTCATTGCTGAGCCTATTAGTTCAAGTTCTCTGAGGGAAGCATTGATCATTGAAAATACAGCTTCTGGGCAGCCATTGGCTGAGACACAGACCTCTATGCTGGGAGGTCCTGACGTTTATTAGAAAAATGAGTTCTTTTCTTAATTTAGCCACTCCATGAGTCAGTTCTCACAGATGTAAAGGTACTCTATCTGAATACACGTGGCTCCCTGAGAATGGCAGATGCCTTACAGGTGTTGACCCTGGTTGGTCTGTAGGTTTGTTCAACATTGCTGTCCTCTGAGGCAGCAGAATCCAAGAGGCCTAGCCTGCCTCTCAGGAGGAGTTCTCATAGATCATGTGCCAGATGAGAACTGAAGAAGCATGAGTTTTACGAGAGCAGGGTGTGTCAGGAGAGGAGCAGGTGGGAGGGAAGGGCGGGAGAGAGGAAGGGCATGGTGTAAATGCAAGATCTAGCAGTCCACATGGCCAGCATGGAGCTTTAGCAGAAAGGCTTTAGTGAGCCAGGAAGCGGGAAATGACAGAATAAGACTTGTGCGTAGTGAGGCTTTTCTAGGAAGCAGTTGGGGAGGGACTGGTGGAGGCAGGAGGCAAGGAGGCCACTCAGGTGGCTTCTGAATAATCACTGGGCAAAATGGTGTGGGCCAACCAAGTTGGTGGCAGTGAGGAGAATGAGAAGGAAGATTCAAGGGCAGCTAGAATGATTAGATAATGGAAATTGATTATGGAGGAAGGAGGAGAGGAA